GTTACGTATGTTAACGCGTTATCCGATCCCCGGCCAAACAACTTTGAGTTTCACGTTGAACGCTAATGTATTTTGGAACTAGAAGTAGAATTTTCGCTTCGTCTATTTATTTTTAAAAATTTTAATTCCTCTTGATTCCTGTTAGAAACGTCACGAGCCAAAGTTTTAGCGATAAGGATTTGGAATAAGTTTGACAATAATGTAAAGGGATGTCGAGAATATTCTCGGAAGGGGTTAAGAACATTTTACGAGGTGTTTAAAATGGCGATCATGCCGTTCTTCCCTATACGTGAATATTTCATGGCGCACGTAATCTCGATTCACGCAAGAATTCTATTTTCTAGACGCAAGAATTTAATCTTCGGTATGTTACCGAATGGAAGGGTTTACGAGGGAATAGATTATTCATAGAAGTATTCGTGGAAATTCTACGAATTTTTTTCAACTCTTTATCTTCTACTTTTGCTCGCGTTTAATCGCATAAAAGATTCGTAAAAAGAAGATCGAAATTATTATATAGAAAATCGTATTATTTTTCGCTTTTACTTTTTACAAATAATCCTGATCCGTTTGATCATTTATGATACATCGATCTACGCATCATTGATTGCCATTAAGCAAAAATTTATTTAAATAATAATATCATTCGTAACGAAATTCCACGACGGTTTCAATTTATTATACACGTTTAACGTATTAAATGGTGGAAAATCGGTAATTAATTCGAATAAATCCGATATTTAACATCCAACTTTGCGACTTAACGAGCCTTTTATCAGTTAACCGCTAAAGTAAGGCAATTAAAATTCGTGTAATTACTCGCACGCCATCCACAAAACCGTTTCAATCGTCGTTTCACACGCGAGAAATTTCACTGGGTGGTAGCACGATGATCCCACCTTATCATCCTTAAACATCCTTTTTCACGTGGAAATACGTTAAAGATTTTTTTCTATTTATATCGTCATCATGTCTGTCTTAATACGTGTAATACGTGTTTAATCCGCGTTATTACGCGATTGTCGTAATACGAAAATGTAGATAACTTTATACGCCATTTTATACACGATGTAATTAGCTATTGTTACACCAACCTATTATTGTATTAAATATCAATCATCGTTGAGTAATAATCTCGACGAGCTACGCGATATCTAATTAAGAAAAACACTCGATAAAATATGAAATAAAGTATAGAAAAAGTTCCAAAAAAAAAAAACCCAATTTTTGATTTCACTGGTTAGTTAAAATTCCAAAAAAACATTTAAAATTACTCGAGCAATACTCTTGCGGTATCGAATCCATTAACAAAATTTTCCAACGATGGAAATTTCCAAAATAAAACCGCAAAGGGGTAAAAACGCGTGATCTCGAAGCGAAACTCGGTCGAAAGATGGAGGAAAATCGCGTCATCGGATTCCCATTTTATCCCATCATGACAGAAAATTTCCAACAACGGGAATTCCCATCGACTTGGCTGTAAAATAAATCCTGTACATATATATAAAAACATATATGATTTCGAAAAACCTTAATCGAAAAAGGTCACGAGAAAATCACTCGAGATTTCCAAAATTTCCCAAATTTTCATCTTCGACTTGGACGAATCGAAATAAAGTCTAAGAAAAAAAGAAACGCGTGATTTAGCACCGAAGAAAATCGAGGAAAATCGCGTCATCGGATTCCCATTTTATCCCACCTTGACACCCAACCCAACTCCCGAGAGATAGAGGAGCGAAAAACACGAGGAGCTAAAATGCAAGGGGATTCTTCAATGGCGCGGTCGAATTCTTGGAAGCGGCGCGCTCGACTTGACCCACTTTCTTTCCTGGAAAATACTTACGTACGTACGTACGTACGTACGTCCACGTAATAGTAATAGTAAAAAACACGATGACTCAGTGCTCGTCGTTGACCAGCGCCACAGATGCCGCGGTAGGTCGCGTGATGAGAAGGAGAAAGAGGGGGAATGAAGAACGCGCGAGCGAGAGGGAGACGTAATGGCGAGCGGACGAAATTACACGGTTCACTTTAAACGAGAATATCCGAAGAACGGATGATCGTATCGATATGAAACGAAAAGCGTTTTAAACGGAAGATTTGCCGTTTCTCCTCGGCCGAGGAGCACAGGTAAAACTTACTTAGATACGATTCAGGTTAAGTTTTAAAATCTAGTTACATACTTCGACGTTGTAGCATCATTGAATGAATAGGAATGGAGGATTGCGTTAGAGTTGAAGTTTTTCGGGGAGATTCAATTTAACGTTAATGACATTTTCGTGAATATATCGCGTGGTAATAATGCGAATATGGCAGGTTTCATTTGCAATCGTGAAGTCACTTTGCCGAGAATATTCCGGGTTCGGACCGCAAAGGCTTAATAACGGTGGAGTTATTTGGTTGAGGTTAGCAGTGAGCAGCCTTTTATTGGCAACAGCTATACACGCTGCACAATGATATTTTCCGGAACCGGTTGAAATTAATCTTCCTCTTATTCACATTTTTCCTAAATATAGATTCGTCGATAATTATTATATGATACATTCGAATTTATAAAAGATCTCCTACTCTCTCCTACTTTTTAAATCGATTCGTATAAATCGGGAAAGACCAATCGGGAAAATTTATAATATCGAAATTACAACGGAGAGAAGGATATATGAAAAGTAAGAAAGCACTCCCTATGTGAAAATCCTCCCTCTTTCTTCGAACAAACGACGAATAACGGCTATATATAGAGGAAATAATATGGTTATCGAGCATTTGGTAGATATGGAACAAGCATAGGAGTGGGAGGGGGGGGGGGGGCGAACGGCCCTCGTCAAGATGGAGCGGCTCTTCTCACTTACGTGGAACGTGTCTCGGAACAAAAGGGATGTTTCTCGGTAAATGGGGTGACGAGCACACGACGAAGCGTAATATGTCGAGCAAAATCGAGAAAGCGCGAGGAAGAAGGAGGAGGGAATCTTATACGAGAGAGCTTGCTGATACGGTTAATGCCACGCGACACCGAGGAATGCGATTTTCCTCGACGACGAGAACCTCGAGAAACAGGTATCTTGGAAGCGTGGGGGGCGAGGGCGAACGATAACTCGATATCGCGAGGCGGGTGGCAGACAACCCACCGGCAACGACACCGAGTTTGCGCGAGGGACAGAAATTATTCGACGACGACGACGACGACGACGACGCCGCCGGCTTCATCCCGCGTAATTGTCGCGACCGATCTCGCGTATTTTACGCGATGCTCTATTTAAAGATCGCTCCCTTTGTTCCGATGTTTCGGAAAATGGAGACGATGCGTATTCAAAAATATATTTCGCTCGATGATCGAGTTGAAATTCGAGACGAAGAAGAGGAAGGATTTGGCAAATTGTCGTTTTTTTTTTTCTCTCTTCTTTTTTTGATTAAAAATTTGACTTCGAAAATTTTAGATTTGAAAAGACTTTTCGATTAAAATTTTGAATAGCAAGTTGCGTTAATCTTCACGCTTCGTCGTGAAGATTTTAATCTTAAAAAAATTCCTGTCAAAATGCGTCGAAACGAAATAAGTCGCGAGGGATTAAGCGGAAAATTCGGACGGAAAGTAAAAACGTTAATTACGTGGGGATGCACTTCCTCCGTTGATCGGCTTACGTGTTGAAAATTCAATATTCCGCCGTTTAAGTAGTAATTAATGCAAGTGTATAGAACGACGTTGGGCAAGATCATAACGTGTTAATGCCAACAAGTGAACACCTACCTATATATCGGCAACACCTGTAAACCCCGTTAAATAATTTCATTCCGGTGTTCGAAGCTTCGCGCAATTTCAATTCGTTCTGAAATCGACCACCGATAGTGCGCGCCTCGCACCTTGCTTCCCACCAATTACACGCCACGTAATAAAACGATTCGAAATAAATGATACGCGATTAAAATATAAATTATCCCCGTTATTACGTTACACGGGATAAATAAAATGATTCGATCATCGTTAATTTATATTCTTCCTTCATTCAATAGATAAAATTAAGCGACGTAACTCCGCGTTAAACTTTTATTTTTTTTTTTTAAATCGAAGCAAACGAAATTAAATAATTTTGATGCAATTTGTCGTTCAAATAAAGGACCTTCGACAATAATTAATTCTGACAATTAAAACTCCAATCAACGATACCTTCCTTTGTATCATCGTCTTAACAAAAACACTTTTTTTCCATAAATGTTCACATTCGTTCATGAACAACAGTTACGTTGGAAAAGTGTGTTGGAAGGCAAGTAAAACGCAAGGAACGTTGCACGTTTTTCGTAGGATTTTTTTTCTTTTTTTTTTTCACTTTTTCTCGATCGTCATCTTATCATCTTCCGCGTTAATACGTACGCAAAATCCGCTACGCATCCGCTGTCGCTTTGCACCGCGTTGAAAAACAAAAAAAAATGACACGGCTCGAAAGATAATTACATAGCTACATCAACCTAGCTACTGTAACACCGAGTGTAACAGATTATTTGCACGTAACGAATAGCAACGGTACTCCGTCGAGGTGGCCACCTGTTGTGGTGACACGCATCGAACCGTGACACGAACCGTGTACACTCCCATTCGTGCCTACTCGAAACGTTCTCGTCGTTTTAATTAATAATAATTTAAAATCGGTCGTTCAAGGAGTCGATTAATCATTTTTCCGATGTATCGATGGAAACTCGATCTTGATCCTTGAAAAACTTGGCCAAGCTTGGACGAATTATTCGTAATAATTGATCGATTCGAACGTTTCCTTTCGTTTCGTTTAAAATAGAGATACGATTAATCGATTTCGATTAATACAAGGGTTATATATAAGGATATAGTACAGAGGTTCGAGTTGAATGATCATCATTAAACACGTGTTTGTATCGTTTATTTTCAATCGAGATCAATAAGTATGTTTATTTAAAAATCACGATGAAAATTGGAGGAAAGAGGGAAAGATCGTGGATAAAGTAAGAAACGTTAAGATAAATGATAGAACACGTTTTATATAAAATAATATATATAAAACGTTAAGACAACCATCGCTTTTATTAAAGAGCTGTACAGGGTATAAAAACAAGTCGTGTCAATTCCTCTCGATTAAAAAACGATCGAAACGTTAAAAAAAAAAAAAGAAAAGGAAAATAGGAAGGAAAGAAGAAAGAAAAACGGTTGAATCGCAATTACCTAATCTTTTATCCTCCTCCTCCTCCCGAGGACGATTTTTTTCCCCTCCTCTAGTCGTGTTTCCCAGCTGTGTTGAAGCCTTTTTCGGTCAACCACGAGGAGTCAATGACGGACAAACCGCGGATATAACATCTCCCCGTGGCTATAACCTCCGTGAACAATATTAACGGTGGTTTGCTGCCGTGCAACGTGGAGGAAGGATGTATAGAGACCGGCTGCTTCGAGTTCACCTACACAGACCAACAATCCAATTATTTCTAAATTCTCGTTACCCGAGTCTCGAGCGGAGAAAACTTGCTTAAACCGCGCCCTATACTCTCCGAAGAAACTCGTTCGAGCTTCCCCCAAATTCCCCGACAAAATGACAACGGAATAACGCTAACTCCGTCCCATATTGCACGTGCAAAAAGTCGTTGTTGTTGAACGTTACCTTCCATTCGAGTCAAAACGAAGAATCGAGGAGAATCGGTCCTAAACTCCTTTTCGCGAGGAGTTTAGTCGATACTCTCCTTCTTTTTCATTCCGCTTTTTCAACCGTGAAATTTACAAAAACACCATACACGATACTCGAATACTCGGTTTCTAAATTAAATACACCTATACTTCGCTATAATGACTCACAATGTTTCGGTATACGGTCAAAAAAAATAATTTACGAACTAAAAACTATACTATTTTATAAAGAATTGAAACCAAGATCCAATTTATATGATACAAAATAATGATTCGTTCGTAACTAAACCGCAAAGCGCATGGGTGCGAGGTATGGGTATATGCTCTCTCTCTTTCGTTCACTCGCCGGTAATTTCCAAATTGCTCGCAAATTTATTCGAAAAAAGATCTTCGACTTACTCGAAAATTGGGCAAAGGTTCGATATCTTCTCCCCGGAAATGGATCGAGAAAAAAGAAAACTCGCTCACCGTAACGTAAGTCTGATCCCTCTGCAATTCGGCGAGATTATCATGGAGGCCCTCGAGGAGGGCTTTCCTCAGCCGGTCGGTGCTCGCTCCGCAGCTTGCCCTCTCCAAATTCGCTCGTTCCGCTAACGCGGCGAGCTGGTGTCGCACCTCCACCGCGTATTCCAGATTCCTGTGATGCAGAAAGTTGTCGTGGCACCAGACCTTTTTCTGCTTCGTGTTCGTGTAGCCCCGAAAAACGTTCAACAACGTGACGTGGTCTCCCTCGGGTGAGGCGAATCTGGAACGAACGAAGCAACGAAAAGCGTAACGAAAAACCAAGTATCGATCGCGGATCCGTTTCACGTTCGTATTTTTCTAAAAACTATTCGCGAACGCTTATTTCTCGCGAGATTGTAAACAGACATTTGTTCGAGAAAGTTCCGTGTGAAGATTCTTTCCTGTTCCATGGCCAGCGGGCCACTAATAGACCTGAACAAAGAGCGATACTTCTGAAGTACTGTTTTTATGGGTTTTGGCACGGCCTCGGGTCGATTCTCAAGTAACACAGTTGACTTTGCGTGCTAACATCGCTCTTTGTTTGGCAGATTAAGGAAGAACGTTGTACCGTTTGTTTACCATGCGATCTTTGTGTACAAGTCACCGCCCAAGCGTGAAATTTCTTTGTCCTCGAACCATGTTGCGAAACGGGCACTGCCCGCCCGATGTTATTAGTCATTGGCGTGCCCCATCAAGAATCCATCCCAATTAGCCAGGAAGGGATTCAACTGAACACACGATTATTTAACTTCTCGTGACGAACACGTCGTACGCCCACACTCGATCACGACAATAGGTTAGTTGCGTACAGATCGTGCTTCGACCGTCGGACGCGATCGCATTGTTGCGAGTTTGTGGGAGACACTGCTCTCTCTAATAGTCAGCGTCTAGTTAACTGGTATACAGTTCACAAATAGAACTACCATTGCTTCGAGCGCGAACAACCCGCAATGTCGAAATGGCGCCGAATATTTTTCGATCGTATTATATTGTACGGGATAAAGTATTTATTCTGTTTAAAGAGTTAAAGGGAGAAGGAAGGAACGCGAGGATGGATGCGGTTAATACGATTCTGTGCAGAAAAAGAATTTTTTAAGCGTTTTTTAAGGTGGAGATTCCGATTCGAAAACGTCACAAGGTATATATTTGTGAAATCGTTATTGAATTGTGGGAGTAGATTGATTCATCAACTGAAGGTTTAAATAATAGAGAAATAAAATTTTTGTATCAGATTCGAGTTCGACTTTACTTCTGTAACAATGTAACGAGACAATTTGATTAACTTGTTAGAGAGAAATCCAAATTTTAATTAATAATAATAATCGATTTCCAACTCTGAATAATTCTTTACATTTCGAATTCGCAAGTTACAACAATATTCAATAACAAACGAATCTATTAGTTGTAAGTTTCCAATGTATCCTTTACATCTTTGTTCCACACGGATTGATTATCTCGTCACGCAACGTGGAAAATCCTTCGCCTAATCCTAAGAGGATTCTCGCGACGAAGATATTTATAAAACGTAAGAAGATTATGAAGAACCCGCAAAGAAGCGGTATTACGATACGGTATTCGGAGAAACAGAAGGTTTTGAAAGGAAAATCAATGAAAGATACCTTGATCTGGCGACGTAAGCTTGCTGCCTTTTCGCGGGCGGGTCGGTGAAAACAGACTCTCCCGACAATAAGGAGACAACGGTGAGGGCTTCTTCGAGGCACTGATGTTCCACAGATGCGAGAATCACCTTGGTGAATCGCGGATCCAATGGGAACAGGGACATCGTCCTTCCGAGAGTAGTCAGCTGTGGTGGTGAACCTGCTCGAATGGAAAATCACCGGATGAAATCGCGTTTCGATAAATAAGCAAGGATAAATATATTTTTCACGTCTTACGAATAAATAAAAGAAGCAAATTTTATTATAAACAGAGCGATAAAATTATGTGGATTAATATGTACGATACGAAACGGGAAACGTTATTCCGACAGCTGGAAAAATTTTAATTTATTCGATCCAATTTCGAGCACGCTGATAAAATATTCTTTTATTCGCGTGTAATTTTTCTTTTCTTCTCTCTCTCTCTCTCTCTCTCCCTCACAATCTTTGGTAAAGAAGTAAAGAGGAAACGTTCTCGTATAATAAAATCACGATATCAATCATGGGAATTATACTCTTCCTAGATGGGATAAAACGCAGGTTCGAATAAAATTGCGAACCGATTTTCACTTTAGACGTATCCTATACACAGTTACGATAACAACGCGAGCACGCGAGATATGAAATATTGCCGTTCTAAAAAGAATAAACCGTGGAAACGTATTGTTTCCACGGACGGAGAATGTATATATATATATATATATATATATATATATATATTCTCGCA